TAGATAACAATTAATATCTACGATTTGCTTGTTCGAGAGAAAAGTTGAAATTAATTTAGCGATTATCTCTACGATTGGTAAAATTAAATAAGGTTTGTATGAATATAAATAGTTCAAGAATTAATTCCGAGGAAAGCAGAACCTAGAATCTATCTTTTACATCTTGATTTATTTTTATTGTTTTAGGTAAATTAGTTCTTAGTTTAATTTCATAGTTTAAAATCATCATCTCATTCGTTAGTTTAAATAATATTTAATTGTCATTATTTTAGTACTTAATTAATTTAACTACAATCTCTGTGGAATACGACCTTGCTCGCCACTACCTATAGCTACGCCGTACACTTGCGGATAGCAAAAATAATTAACGAACACAGGGCAAGGCACGTCCTAGGCTCGACTAAGGCTCAACATACTCGGTTTGATAATAGCTCGTACGAAATGGCTCAAAACTTCTCAGAATTGACTCAAAATTCATGGGAAATGCTCGTCTCTCGGGATTAGGTTCGACTCTTCTCCTTCGTCCTCGGAATAAACCTGAAAATACACCAAAAAGCACGAAAATGTACGCTAAAATATAAAAAGGAAATAAAAGAAGGAGATAAAAACACACGAAATACGATAAGATGGACCTAAAAAGACTCGACCAAGCCACATAAAACACACGAAAATAAGCACAAAAACACAATAAACAATTTGACAAATATAATTTATCGTAATATATGACTAAGAATGTAACTAAACATCTCGTGACTAATCGTAATATCAAACAAAATCTGATGGCTAATAGTAATATCCCACGTTAGTTTTATAAAAAATGAGCCTAGTGTATAAGTCTAGTGAATCACTTCTCACACTAAATACCGCACTCTATTACTACTTATCTCCCCCAAAGATCATTTTGCCACTATCATTTTTTATGAAATGTAAACAAAAAAAAAAACCTCTCACGGCGCACCGTGCATGTTAGGTTTTGCCGGCCGCAAATTTTTTTTTTACTCAAATTTTTATTTATTATATAAATTATGTTATTTAGATATTATTATGTTATAAATTAGAATTCATTATCTTATTAAGTTAGAACTTATAAATTATTATGTTATATAACATAACTAACTTAAAATATAATAATTTCTAAAATTCTAACTATAAGATAATGAATTCTAATTTATAACATAACAATATCAAAATAACATAATTTATAATAAGTAAAAATTTGAGTAAACAAAAATAAAATTCGCGGCCGACAAAACCTGCCGTGCACGGTGCGCCGTGAGAGGTTTTTTTTTTTTACTTTTCATAAAAAAACTAGTACAACACCCGTGTATTACACGGGTGCTTGTTAAAAACTTATTCTTAAATTTTAAAATTAATGAGAAAACTATATTAAATTTAGTTTACTTTTTTACAAAAAAAAAAAATATATTACTATATATTTTAGAATGAAATGTGTGACTTATGACTTACATGTGTTTTATTATATTAGTTTTATAACTTATATCGTATAACTACTTGAAATATTAATATATTAATTGATAAATAATTTTATTTTTCTTATTAATTTTAAAAATAATTTTATTATTGTTATAAAGATAAATATAAATTATTTTTTTCTACATACAATATGGATGTTAAATCGAAGCTCATCAAAAGAAGATTAATTTGATATATTACATATGTAAAACTGATAAAAAATACCGAAATAATTAACTTTTAAAATATATATACAATTCAATAATTATAATAAGGAATGATATTAAAATGCAATTAAAATATGTAAAATGACCATAAATAATCAACATATTTATGGTAATCCAAAACTAATTATTTTTTGTTTGGAATTAAATTAAAATTTATTCAAGTCTAATAACGAAGCATCTAATTTTGCCACGCGCGTTCTGAATTAATATATAAAGGAAGGGATGATAGGGGCAAAATGATCTTTGGGGCCGAGATAAGTAGTAATAGATGCAGTATTTAGTAACACCCGGTATAAATCTTAAAGTAACAATCAGAAATATCAATAAGAGTACAGTACTCATGAGTTGAGTCAACGCGGCAACAATTATCCGTCCAACATCTTTCTCTCTCCTATATAATTAGTTATCAATTCCTTATATTTTGCTTTCAGTATTCACACTCCCAGTCAAGAGAGAGAGAGAGCTTACCGAAAGAGCTCACAACCGGCGGCAATGGCGGACGCCGCCGTGGAATTCCTGCTGGAGAACCTGAAGCAGCTGCTCCTGGACAAGGCGGATCTGATCCACGGAGCCAAGGCCCAGGTCGCGCGGCTCCAGGATGATCTGTGCTTCTTCAATGCCTTCCTCAAGGACTCCACCAAGAAACGGCGGAAGGACCTCTGCCACAAAGAGCTCGTCCGGCGGATTCGCAATGTCGCGTACGACGCGGAGGACGTCATTGACGCCTATGTGACCCAGGCGAAGGACAGCAGGTCGAAGAACTACTTCCTCAGGTCCATCAAGCCGTTCCAGCTCACTAACATCGCCGTGGAGGTTGAGGACGTCCGGGCCAAGGTAAAAGAGATCTACGACAATTGGCACCTCATGGACTTTTCCAGACTCGAGATTGGAGATGAAAAGCCGGACGATGTCGAGGTAATTTCCATGGCTCCTCTCTTTTGCGATCTCAAATTTGCCCAAAATTAGGGATTTAATTGGCCACTCGTAATAGGATATATCAACGTCGTATGGTATGGAAACTTATTATATATCTTCCTTGTCTAATGATAAATATTATTATTCACAAGTGAATTTTATTGAATAAGTTACCTGAGCTAGCAACATCTTTAGATTTTTTTTTTTTTTTTGTTTTCTAAAACGACAAATGAACTCAATTAAAATAAAAGCGTTTTCAAACCGGAGAACCGATTGGTACCAAACGAAGGAAAATACAAGGGAGCCTCAAATCCAAAACAAAACCAACAACTAAAACGCACCCAACCAAACTAGACAAAACCAACCAACTAAACAAGCTAATAGAAACCACCAAAGGCAAGCAAGAATGCTCGAGTCCTTCAGTAGTAAAGAACACAAAGCAGCACAACTAGAATCAAAAGAAAGAAAAAGGAGAGAAGATAGATAGATCGATACAATAGATGTGTTTCTTTCAAGGTAGAAGCCAGTTCTTGTTTCCTAACGTTGTACTGATCTTCTTGCGAAACCTTTTCAAAACAGGCACCAATCGTGAGGCAAGAAAACGTGGTCGGTTTTGAGGACGAGGCAGCGAAAATAATTGGGTATCTCAAGGAGGAGACCGAACAACTCGATGTCATCTCAATAATCGGCATGCCCGGCCTTGGAAAGACGACATTGGCCGGAAAAATCTTCCGGGACCCAACCATCCAGTACGAGTTCCCCACTCGCATATGGGTCTACATTTCCCAAGAATTCAGGAAGAAAGACATCTTTCTAAACATCTTAAAACAGTTAACGAGTATCACTGAGGACATGATTAATCACAAAAGTGATATGGAGCTAGCTCAACTGGTGGCGTCTCATTTAGAGGAAGGGAAATTCTTGATCATCATGGACGACATGTGGGCAGCCGACGACTGGGAAAAGCTCCAAATCGCCCTCCCAAAGGGCAACAAGATGGGAAAAGTCTTGATCACCAGCCGCAGTGACCAGGTGGCCCGGAAAGCCAACCGAAATAGGCCTGACCACAAGCTGCGTTTCTTGACTCAAGAGGAAAGTTGGAAGTTGCTGAACCTCGAGGTCTTTGGCAAGCCTGATTGCCCGTCCGAGTTTGAGGTTTTTGGGAAGCAAATTGTCGACCAGTGTTGTGGGCTGCCCCTCGCCATAGTGATCATTGGGGGTGTTCTAGTCACAAAAGTCTCACTGTTTGATGATATCAATGTGAAAAGGCACCATTGGAAAAAGGTATCGACGAATGTGCTCAGGTGTCTCACGGAGGATGACCCTCAGGAACGCATGAAGAAAATCATAGCCCTGAGTTACGATAAACTGCCTAATCATCTAAGGGCGTGTTTTCTCTATTTCGGAATGTTTCCGGAGGATTACGAGATCTCCGTGTGGGACTTGATCCGCATGTGGATTGCCGAGGGATTTATTCAACAAAAAACTAGTCAAACTCTGGAGGAGACTGCGGAGAGCTATCTCGAGGAGCTCATCAGCCGGAATTTAATTAGGGTCGACAAGTGGAAGCCCGAGGGTAGGGTCAAGACGTGCCGCATCCACGACATGCTCCATGAGTTCTGCAAGAATGAGGCCAGGAGTGAAAATTTCCTCGAGGAGATTAAAAAGTTACGTGAAGGGGGTTTCAACATCCTTGTCACTAATGTGGACCAATATCGCCGCCTCTGCATCCACTCCAACGTTATGGACTTTGTCAACTCTGAGAAGCTCTACGGATCCCGTATCCGCTCTTTCACCTGTTTCTCCAAGGAGGAGATCACCCTCACGGGAATGAGTCTCACCAACATCCCCTCGGCCTTCAAGCTCCTCCGGGTCCTAGAAGCCAAGCCCATAAAGTTCCCCAAGATCCCTTCCGAGATTTGTAAGCTTTTTCACCTGAGGTACATCAAGCTGTCCTGCTACTCGGCCTCCCTTCCCATCTCCTTCTCCAAATTCTCGAACCTGCAAACCTTGGTGATTGACACCACGGCCAGTATGCTCGACATCAAAGTTGATATCTGGAAAATGATCCATCTTAGGCACATAAAAACAAATGCATCTGCATCCCTGCCCGAGCCCGAGCCCAAGACAGCGGGCAATAAAAACGAGAAGCTCCAGACCCTTGGCTTCATCTCGCCTCACAGCTGCACAGAGAAAATACTCAATCAGGCCCGTAACCTGAAAAGGCTCGGCATCCGTGGGCCCTTGGCCCCGCTTTTAGAAGGCAAGGTCGGGTCGTTCGACAACCTTGCGACGATAGAAGGCATCGAGAAGCTGAAGCTCGTGAATGATGTGTGCCTTAGCCCAGCCTCTGAGGGCCAGCCGCGGTTTCTTCCTCAGCATTACAGGTTCCCTCTGAATCTCCGGAGCCTTACTTTGTCTAGAACATTTCTCGAATGGAGCCAAATGTCCACCTTGGGCTTGCTTGGAAGCCTTGAGGTGCTGAAGCTGAAGGACCAGGCTTTCAAGGGAAAGACCTGGGAGACTGTGGATGGGGGATTCCGCTGCCTGGAAGTGTTGTTTATTAGGCAGACAGACCTGGTCGAGTGGAAGGCCTCAGGACATCACTTCCCGAGGCTCAGGCGGCTCGAGTTGAAGAACTGTGAGGAGCTTGGGGAGATTCCAATGGGGCTGGCGGATGTGCCAAGCCTGCAGTTGTTGGACGTTTACCGTTGTAAATCTGCAGCTGGGTCCGCTAAGAGAATCTGTGAGGCCATACAGAAGAAGAAACAGGAGGACCAAACTCAAGTTGGCGGAGTCGGAAAGTTCAAGCTCATCATTTTTCCTCTCGATGATTTGTTGGCTTGACGGTATGCCACTAAAAACTTATTTTGTTATTGACACATTTCGATACTAGTCTGCGTTACTCATAAAAATAAATTATTACGAGCTTTGGGAGATTATTTTGGTTTGTTGATTCTCATTTTTTTACGTTTAGTTCTGGTGTACATGCTACTCTTATATTATTACTCTAACAACACGTTTTGAAGGCTGGATAGTTACTTCACGAGGAAGGTCAAGTAAAACTTCATTTTATCTTAGGGATAGAAAAATAAAATAAAATAAAATAAACTTCATTTTATCTTGTTTTAAAAAAGAACCCTTAATCAGATATCTTAAAAATACTCTCAGAAGTTGGAAAGTGTTGCTTGTTAGATGAGAAATTGAACTTCGGAATTTTTTTTCTTACATATATATTTCATTTATACTGATACCTTGAACTTAGCTTTGGAAAACTCGTGGCATATATGTTTCGTTGAACTTAAACAAGACAAGTTGTAATTATGTGCAGGCATATATATCATACAAATCTGCTCAAGTGGGTAAAGACGACTAGCTATGCAAGAAGATCTTTCCATCCCACAATGTAATCTTGTTGTGTTCATAAGAAATGTTGTGTGTTCATGTATCATTGTGTTGAACTCCTTTTTTATTGCCTTGCCTTTGTATCAGTTAGTGTCTGATCAGTTGCTTTGTTGTCTGAGACTTGTTAAAATTTATCTTAATGTTCAATGGCTACTGATTGGAACAATTGAAACACTTTGTTATTACTTATTTGCAGATATTGGACATTCAATCACCTTGAGGATTCTGAGTGTTCTGATATCATGTGCCTTTATGCATATGAATGCAATCTTGGATTATTTGGACATGATTTTCTTATTTTGCTTGACATATGTTGTTTTCTCCCTGAAATATCATATTATAATTTAATGCTGCATTTTATCAGTTTGTATAGTATGGTGACTTAATCTATTTTTTATTTATTTTTTTTATGATGCAGATATTAAGAAAATGTGAATATGAAGATAGAATTGAAAAAGATGTTTTTTTTTTTGGTACATATATTTGTGATTGCAATAATTCTTATACTTGTTATTATGGTTCTATAGTGTCCAGACACAAAATTTTCCATACTGATATAAGTATGAAGTAATTAATATCCGTGTTGAGAAAGAAGCCCTCGTGGAGAACAAAAAAAGGCAACAAGAAAAAAGAAAAAACAACAAATCCACAAGTTACGGAGAAAGTAATTTGGAAAAAAAAAAAGTCCCTGAAAACCTAAGATCAGATTTCAGGAAACATGCAAGATGATAAAGATGTCCAAAATCCCCGGGGAAATAAAAGTCGATAGGCTCCCGCTAGGCGCTCGACCAATGCCTAGCGCCTAGAACGCCTAGGCGGGGCCTAGTCGGTGCCTTATTTTTTTATTTATTAAGCACTTTATTTTTTATTTATTTTAACTACCTACAAAATAAAACTATCTCAACATATAATAAATCGATACGCCTAAGTCCAAATAATAAAATTAATATATTTTAAAGAAAACATAATAACAAAATAATGTAATTAGTATTTAAAAAAAATAGAAAAGAAAAAGCTGAAAAATTTCCGCCGAGCCCACCTTTAGAACGCCTAGGTCCCCCTAGGCGCCGGCTAACCGTTTGGCCGCCGACCCGCCAAGTCCGTCTATGAGCGCCTAGGCGTCGCCTAGCCGCCTGACCGACTTTTTCTGTCGACTTATGCAAATCGGAGGCGCCCGCCTAGGCGCCGCCCAGACCGATTTTTAGAACAGTGGGTATAGGTCGGTACGGTATAGCAAGGGGAAAGCCCTCATAGAAAGAATGACCTATGAGAGGTTGGAAGTCGAACTAGTAGGTTGTTATGAAAAGTAACTTATAAAGGACACGTGTAAGGTCGAGATCAGAAGGTTAGCAAATGATCTAACAGTCGAGGAATGAAGAGTACGGGGGAAGTTAATAATTCTATATAAATAGGTAAATAAGGGAAAAGTAGAGTTAATCACACTCAAAAACCCTAATACAACTTACAACTACATACAACTTTCTTCTATCCTCGACTGACTTGAGCGTCGAAGGTTTACCGTCAGGAGTACCTGTAACGCCCCCACTTTGATTTTAAAATTTCGGACTTTCCAAAATCAATAAAACATTTTTCGAACTCATTTTAAAAAACATGGGCATTATTCAAAACATTTACATAGTCCAAATCTTATCTGGACCCACGGGGATTCATTACCTGGTTTTTCACAAGGTTTTCAATAACCTGAAACACAACATACCACATGGTATTCATCTTACACTTAACAGCATGAATTATCGTAAATGACATGATATTCAATTCAATCAGTACTCATCAATATCCAAACCAACATAAGTTCACCAGAATATCCCAATTTCAACAATTCAAAACATACTTTTGCAAAACCGTTCAACATGACTCATATGTATCAAACATAGTTCATAAAATTCGGAAGCAAATGAAATAAATAAAAGACCACCCACTCGCCTTTGCCTCGTCACCGACAACTGCTTAATCCGCATCCATGAAGAGCAGGTGGGAGTGAGCACAAATGAAACTGTAGTGCTCACCACTATGCATGTATATCACAATATAAACAATGTAAAGAATGTATGGTCGTAGCATGAACATAAATCAATTATTATGTCACATCTCAATATCACAACACTATATAACATCATTACCCTTACGGTGGGGGTACATGCCACGCTACGGACACGGTCTTTCATTAGGTCTTAGGGGGACTTACCTCGCAAGGATAACCGTATTACATCGACGAGGACAACCGTATCGACGACCGAATCGGCTCACACCTATAGGCTACATGGTTTACATGCATACTTAGATCATACCAACCCAACACAAATGTAAACATATACGACATAACAAATTTTATAAGTAAACCCACCTGGATTACGAAGTAGTAGATAGCACCCAAAAGCCGGTAGGATGATATCATTGCTCGACAAACACATCAAAAACTATCCCAACACTTAGATCACATACCATAACATTCACTTACCCGAAATTGTATCGACCAAGTGATTTGTGGAAAATCTTAATGGAGTTTGGAACCTCGGCTTAACCAAATAGACTCGATAAACCATATAACATCACTTAGAACTCATATAGCATGCGAAAACACAGTTATGAGTAAATAGGAAGTCTACCAAGTCAGAAAATATTCAAACAAGACTCGGTTGGATGTTGCCGGAAAAATCGACTTGAATTTATAACTACCGGATCTTTTCAAAAATTACTCGGCCATTTTCAATGGAACTTTAATAAATTAATGTACACCCAGAATACACATATACACCAGATATCAGTCCTTAAACCCCATTTTAACCCAGTCAAATAATTTTTCAAAAAATACAGCCATAGAGTGAAAATTCTAGTTCCCCAGTCAAACCTTCGAATTTGAACATGAAAGTTCGGCACAACCCACATGATAACAAATAATACACTCCACAAAATTTAACATTAAAATTCAACAAACTCGATTTTATAATGATTTCACAAGTTCTTCCCAGAATTCAAATTCGGCATTTCACATAGCTACAAGAGGAGTTTAAAGCTGAAAATTGCACACGACACACATCATCAACAGAAAGAACTACATATCAAATTTCAGACAATTTGGCCGATTATTCAATTTATGATTTTTTCAAAATCCAGCAGCACGATCATTTAAAAAAAATCATAACTCAAGAAATACACATCGAAATGACCTGAGACATTTTCTAACATGTCAAGGACACATTAAAGAATTAAAAACTCCTAGTTTTCTACGAAAAATACTCATGTCCTTCAATTTTAACAATAAACCAAAGAGACGAACGCAATACGACATTTATATATAAACACAAATAAGCCAAACATATATAATCACCATGGCAGCAACTAATACACAAATATATCTCCAAATATAAGTCTAGGGAAATCACCCATTACCGTACTCTAAATGGAAGACGTGAAATCGGGGCAAAACTCCTCGACGGCGTCGTGGTTGTGCTTTCGATGGCTCATTTCTATTTGTTTTCCTTTGATGGAAACTTTTGTAACTGCCCTATTTTG